TGGGACCAAGACTTTGGGCAGTAAAGTATTGCAATAAGAAGAAATGAATAGGAAATTAGTGCAACTGGCAATTGGAATGGCTTTGAATTACAATTTTGGATTATGTGATTTTAATGTGAATATTAAGATGCTTTTAATTCTGTGTTTTAATTGTCTAAATCTTTGTTTATGTTTTACCTTTAATATGATTTTAATGGTTTAATTTATAGTTATATGTTATCATTTTAGTTTTCGTATATATATTGGCATTGAATCTTACTTGATGCACACCGCTTTGAGTCCCCCCAGGCATGAGAAAAGTGGTATATAAATAAAGTTAGTTAATTCATTAATTAATTAAAAGGGCCACAGGACTCCTTGTTTTCCTATTTGTGTTTTTGAAATTAATTAGCCATGTAGAAACTTGAAAGAATCCCTGTTGTTTATCCCTTTTCTTTAAAAAAAAAAACCCAAAGGAAACATATATTTCAAAAATCGCTACTCACTTTCTTCAAGGCATTATTTTAGAGTTTATGAAATAGTTCCTTTGCAGTGGGAATTTCAATGTTCAACTTGCAAAAGCAAAGGGCAAAAAGTAGCAGTTTCAAGCAATGCCCCCAGATTGTGGTCTGTCTTTTCACAGGGTAAGATAAACATGAGCTAAAAAAAGAAGAAAAAGTAGTTAGTTCTAAAATAAATCCTGGCGCAACAATTTATGCACAATGCCTCCATTTGTATTCTACAATGTCCTTTTCTGAGAAGTGACATTGTATTTTAAAAAAAACATTCTTTGGACCAATAACTCTGGTGTTGAGCCCCAAGACACCTAGGCGTCTGTATTTATTTCTTGGTGCTTTTGATACATTATAATCTGAGCCATCCTAATGCCAACAGTTTTCATAAACCACATCAGGAGAGCCATACTGGATTTTGGATCAAAGTGCTAGGATTCCAAAAGTTGGATTATAACATCCAGCATAATCAATGAATGCTGGGAACTCCACAGAGATCATACCACCTCCCTGTTGTGTCAGCTTCATTTCCAAGCACAATTCAAAGTGATAGTCTTGGCCTATAAAGCCCTATATGGTTCCGGTCCAGCTTACTTGTCCGAACGTATCTCCTTCTACAATCCACCTCAGAGTCTAAGATTGTCACGAGAGGCCCTGCTCTCAATCTCGCCTCTTTTGCAAGCACGATTGGTGGGGACGAAATACAGGGCCTTCTTGGTGGTGTCCCCCTTGGCTGTGGAATACACTCCGCAGTGAAATTAGGTCAGTTCCATCTCTCCTTTCCTTCAGGAAAAAGCTCAAATCATGGTTTTAGGGCCAGGCATTTGGGTAGTAGGCTTGACAGTAATTGCAATGATTCACAAGAATTGATAATGGACAGGCTTTGGACTGGAAATCTGAACACTGAATTGGATTTGGATGCTGCTAGATTGTTGTTAATAACTTTTTAAAATGGATATTTTATAATTTAATGTTTTAACTAATGTTTAACTTATGTTATATTTTATGTGTTTGTATGTGTTGAACGAAAAAAACAAATTTTCCATTATTAGGAGGGCAAAATAATAACATTTTGATGGCTTCATCCTACAGAATCCTAGAATTTGTTCTTAGATGAGGTTCTTTGAATTCCCTGATTGGAAACTCCAGTTCACATTCTGTTGGACCACAGCAGTAGATGTCTCTAGTGTAGAATTCTAAGTACACCTGAAAAACTACAATTTCCAACTTGTGCTAGTCAGTTTTTATGGATTTGGTTAAAATGATTTTAAATCTTTTACTGCATTTTACCCACACCTTTTCATAGAATAATAAAATCAGAGAGTTGGAAGAGACCTCATGGTCATCCATTCCAACACCTTGCCAAGAAGCAGGAAAATAACATTCAAAGCACCCCTGACAGATGGCCATCCAGCCTCTGCTTAAAAGCCCCCAAAGAGGGAGCCTCCACCACACTCCGGGGCAGAGAGTTCCACTGCTGAACAGTTCTCACAGTCAGGAAGTTCACTACCTCTGAGGAGGCTTGCCATAGATGCAGGTGAAACGTCAGGAGAGAATGCCTCTAGAACATGGCCATATAGCCTGAAAAAAACCTACAACAACCCAGTCAGGAAGTTCTTCCTAATGTTCAGGTGGAATCTCCTTTCCTGTGGTTTGAGGCCATTGTTCCGCTTCCTAGTCTCCAGGGCAGCAGAAAATAAGCTTGCTTCCTCCTTCCTGTGACTTCCCCTCAGAAATTGATCCATGGCCCTCATCATGTCACCTCTCAGCCTTCTCTTCTGCGGGCTAAACATGCCCAGCTCTTTAAGCCACTCCTCATAGGGCTTGTTCTCCAGACCCTTGATTATTTTATTTGACCTCCTCTGAACACATTCCAGCTTGTCAACAATTTTGATTCTGTATGTGATTTTATCTATATTTGTTTAAACTTTTGTGAGCGACTTTGAGTGCCAGTTTTAGGCAAAGGATGGGTGGATATAAATGAGCAACAACAACAACAGAAAAGAAGGAGAAAATCAATTTGCTGTGTGTTACTGTTAGTCTCTCCCCCCACTATTATCCTTATATCACTTTGGACTTGGAAATGGATAATAATACATTTTACATTTTCTATTGAGTATTATCTGTGTGTGATCTTATACTGTTAAACATACCTCCACAGCTTTTGTTTTCAAAGGCATGAAGTCATGGATGTGATAGGACACCGTATAGTTGTGCACCGTCAGGTCATTTTTGATTTATGGAGATCCAAAGGCAAATCTATCATGGGGATTTCTTGGTAAGATTTGTCTTTCTCTGGGAATGAAACTTGCCTAAGATCACCCAGTGCCAAGTGGGGATTTGAATCCTCATCTATAGAGCCATAGAACAATGCTCAGACTAATACAACAGAATATCTTTCTTCATTTAATATATTACGACATACATACTTTTTCTTTGATTGGTGCATGTTATTAAATTTAAAGTTAGGTTTTTCTTATTTTGCTTGATGTCTTCTGTCTTGATGTAATTTGTTTTTTTCTTTCCTTTTTGGCATTGAATGTTTGCCATATATGTTGGAAACCAAACTTAGTCACTTCAGGGAGATAGGGTGGTCTACAAATATTATTATTGTCATCGTTATCATCAGAGGTGGCTCAACCCATTATGCAAAGTAAGCATTTGCAGTATAGTTGATTTTGCCCAGGGGTGCTCTCGAGGCGCTCTTGGGGGAAAATAGACCTTGACATATGTGAGTTTTAGTTACTGAGATGTATAGACCACCTACAATCAAAGAGCATTCTGAACTCCACCAATGATGGAATTGAACCAAATATGGCACACAGAACTCCCAGGACGAACAATATATATATATCAGGGATTGGTTTGGGAGGGGGGGGGAGGGGGGGTGCAAAATACAGTTTGCTTACCATTGAAAATTACCTATGGCCGCCTCTGATTATCATCATTATTATTAATTCTTTTTTTATTACTGAATTTTATAATATGTGTGTGTACCTTCAAATCACTGATGGCAACACCTTGAATTCCTAAGCCATTTAGCAGTGGAACTCTCTGCCCCGGAGTGTGGTGGAGGCGCCTTCTTTGGAAGCTTTTAAACAGGGGCTGGATGGCCATCTGTCAGGGGTAATTTGAATGCAATATTCCTGCTTCTTGGCAGGGGGTTGGACTGGATGGCCCATGAGGTCTCTTCCAACTCTTTGATTCTATGATTCTATGGGTGTTCTGAGGCAAAGAATACTCAGAAGTGGATTTCTCAGGCTGGATCTACACTGTGATATAATCCAGTTTCAGAATGTGGATGAACTGCATTGATCTGGATTATAGGGCAGTATAGACTGATATAATCCACTTCAGTACAGTTAATCCACATTCTGAAACTGGATTATAGTGCAGTGTAGATCCAGCCTCAGTTCCTTCCTCCAAAATATATCCTGCAGCACATGGTCAAAGAATCAAAGAATCAAAGAGTTGGAAGAGACCTCATGGGCCATCCAGTCCAACCCCCTGCCAAGAAGCAGGAATATTGCATTCAAATCACCCCTGACAGATGGCCATCCAGCATGTGTTTAAAAGCTTCCAAAGAAGGAGCCTCCACCACACTCCGGGGCAGAGAGTTCCACTGCTGAATGGCTCTCACAGTCAGGAAGTTCTTCCTCATGTTCAGATGGAATCTCCTCTCTGGTATCCTTGTTGACCTCCCACCCAAGTACTGACCTTGTTTAGCTTCCAAGACCAGGCAGCAAGTGAGAGTCCAAAAGTGGCAGGCCCAGCAAGCGAGAGTCCAAAAGTGGCAGGCCCAAACCCAGCACCTCAATTCATGGGTGATACCAGATGAGAGACTCCCCCCGGGCACTCAGAAGACTGGGCGACTTGGAAGGCGCTGAACAGATTGTGCTCTGGCACCACGAGATGCAGAGCCAATCTTAAGAAATGGGGCTACAGGGTGGAATCCTCGGCATGCGAGTGCGGAGAAGAACAAACCACTGACCACCTGCTGCAATGTACCCTGAGCCCTGCCACATGCACGATGGAGGACCTTCTTGCGGCAACCCCAGAGGCACTCCAAGTGGCCAGATACTGGTCAAAGGACATTTAACCAAATACCAAATTTGCAAAATCTGTGTGTTTTTTTTTTCTTTTTCTTTTTAATCTGTGTGTTTGTTTTGCTCTGTTAGAATTGTAATACAATGGTTGCTGATGACACGATAAATAAAATAAATACCAGGCAGGACCTTGGTGTCTTTAGGACATACATTCCTTCTTTTACTTTTGTTTTCCTGCTGGGAGTAGCTGTTGTTTTCTTTGTTTTGAAGAATGTATCCACAAGTAGGGAATGGATAATAATTTGCCTCTTAACTTCTCAGCTCCTTGTTGGGAGGAGGAGGGATGTGAAGGAGGATGTTTCCTAATTTTGGAGGGGCAGGAGGGAGGCGGGGCAGAGACCCTAAAAGTGGGCTGGTCCTGGAGCTGGATTGCTAGGCAGGCTCCCAGTTTGACGTCCAGGGTATATAGAGGTGGCAAACTGGTGGTCAGAGGGCTCAAACTCAGTCTCTGGGGAAGTGTGCAAAGAGGTGGAAAGAGAAATAAGAAGGGAAGAAGAAAGGAAAGAAGGAAAGAGAGACACAGGCAGGCTGCGTGGAAGTTGGATATCCTTTCAAGTGCAATTCTTCACTGCAGGATGAATGAAATGAAAGTAGCCGTTTTGGGCAGCGAAGGGACTGGAAAATCCGGTAAGGCAAGTGTGGATTTGTGTGGAGCACATTCGGACTTCATCTTCACTGTAGAATTAATGCAGTTGGACACCACTTCAAACGAACCTTGTAGTTTGGTGAGGCACTAACTCTCTTTGGCAGAGAAGACTAAAGACCTTCTAAAACTACAATTCCCAGGATTCCATAGCATTGAGCCATGTCAGTTTTAAGTGGTGTCAAACTGCATTAATTCACCCTTAGTTTGGAACAGAATTTGGAAAGCCACTTTTGAAAAGAATTAGGTTTAGTTATGGTGTTTAAAAAGCAATTTGGTCTTGTTTCTTGCTTTGTTTTACAGTTAACTTGTTGACTCTATTGTATTCCTTTCCGTTACTGGAGAACAAGCCCTATGAGGTGCGGCTTAAAGAGCTGGGCATGTTTAGCCTGCAGAAGAGAAGGCTGAGAGGAGACATAATGGCCATGTATAAATATGTGAAAGGCTGTCATAAGGAAGAGGGAGCAGGCTTGCTTTCTGCTGCCCTGGAAACTAGGACTCGAGCAATGGGTTCAAATTACAGGAAAGGAGATTTCACCTGAACATTAGGAAGAACTTCCCGACTGTGAGAGCTGTTCAGCAGTGGAACTCTCTGCTCCAGAGTGTGGTGGAGGTTTTTAAACAGAGGCTGGATGGCCATGTGTCAGAGGTGCTTTGAATGTAATTTTACTGCTTCTTGGCAGGAAGTTGGACTGGATGGCTCGCAAGGTTTCTTCCAAATCAATGACTCTATGATTCTACTATTAAAAATATCTAGAAACATTGATAAGAAAATGGTATAAAAATTTGGAAATAAAATCTTAATAGCAATTCCTTTTAAGAGTAATGTTTAAAAGCGGCTAAAAGTTATACCATTCAAGTAATATATTTTTTATTTGTCATATTATTTTTCAAATATGATTGTGCCTGAATTAATAAAAAGTTACTTGCTATAGCCCTCTATATTACTTGCAAGTTTTAATTTCCAAACTCTGGTCATGACTTTTTGGAGCAATCGGAGAAACTGCAAGTTGCTTCTGGTGTGAGAGATTTGGCCATCTGCAAGGACATTGCCCAGGGGACACCTGGATGATTGATTTTTTTTACCATCCTGTGGGAGGCTTCTTTCAAGTCCTCGTATGAGAAGCTAGAGGTGACAGACAGGAGCTCACCTCGCTCCACAGATTGCAGTCGGAAGTCTTGCTGGCACAAGAGTTGAACCCATTGCACCACCGGGGGCCCCTGATGAGGTCTCAAGATCAGACAACATCTTGTGCCTTCTAAGTATCCAGGCATAGCAAGCTTGCCCATTTCTAAGCCGATGAGCTAGTGTTGTCTGTAAATGCTGGGGGTCAGCATGACTGCATGGAGCGCTGTTGCCTTCCCGCTGAAGCGGCACCTATTGATCTACTCACATTTACATGTTTTTTAACTGCTAGGTTGGCAGAAGCTGGGGCTAACACCAGGAGCTCACCCTGCTCCCCGGATTCTAACCACCAATCTTTTGGTCAACAAGTTCGGCAGCTCAGGGCTTTAACTCAGTGCGTCACCAGGGGCCCTATAAAAGATTGTATTATCATCATAGCACCATATAATTAAAAGGGATTTCACAGGTTGTCTTGTGCAACCTCTGCCAGTGCAAGAATCTACTGCTAAAGTTCCCTAAGAGGTGAGCATCCAATGTCTGTTTAAACTATCCAAAGAAGAGCCGTCCATCACTTTTGGAGACAGACTATTTTATTAGTAATTATCATTATTCCAAATCTAAGGCAGGATTCAGATATACATTTTGAAACTGGATGATTGGCCACTGCTGCAGCTTTCCTTGTGGGCCCTAGAATGAAACACATTGTTTGAAGAGCCAACCTAAAATATGATCAGAAAGTATTGCACATGATTTCCAGAGGGTGTTTATATCTCATGTTGGATTTTTGTTCTGTCATTGCAGCTCTTACAGTGCGATTCCTAACCAAACGTTTCATTGGAGAGTATGCTTCTGACTCTGGTAAGTCTTCATTGCCTTTGGTCATTTGCTTCCGCTTAATCCTTTTTACATTTATACAAAAGATGACCTGTTAAGCAGCCAAACCTTCAATGTCAGCTTAGATCAGACATTCCAAAATCTTCCATTCAAAATGGCCATATAGATGGAAATGTATCACTCCTTTCAAATCTGTACACAAATTCCCATTTATCATGAATCCTTTACAGTGGTTCCCAACCTTTTTTTGACCTGGGACCACTTGACCTGGGACCACTCTCCAATAAGGGTTACAAATCTGTTACAAATCAGTTTTTGGTCAACTTTAGATTCAGTTTGGTTATTTGGGGTGCTGATTCAGAATATTGCATTGGATAGACCACAACAGCTCTAGTTTCTGATACAAAACATGGTCAGCAACAGGGAAGGAGTGGCAGGCGGTGCGAAAGGAGTGGAAATAAAATAAAATAAACAGGAAGGAGACTCGCGGACCAGATTTTTGTCCTTGTGGCCCACTGGTGATCTGCAGCCCATGGGTTAAGAACCAATGCTTTAGAACAGGGGTCCTCAAACTAAGGCCCGGGGGCCGAATGTGGCCCTCCAAGGTCATTTACCCGGCCCTTGCTCAAGGTCTACCTAAGTCTGAAATGACTTGAAAGCACACAACAACAACAGCAACAACAACAACATGAATCCTTTCTCATCAGCCAAAAGTAGGCTGAAATTAGTACATTTAAATACTAATAAGTTTATATTTGTTAAAATGGTTCTTCATTTTAATTATTGTATTGTTTTTAAGTGTTTTTTGCACTACAAGTAAGATATGTGCAGTGTGCATAGGAATTCATTCATTTTCTTTTTCAAATTATTATCTGGCCCTCCAACAGTTTCAGGGACTGTGTCCTGGCCCTCTGTTTAAAAAGTTTGAGGGCCCCTGCTTTAGAATAACCCACTAATCCAAATTAAAATATCTGATGGGATGCACCCATTTCAGATGCCCCATCAACCTTCAGTTATTTGAATGTGCTGCAAGTCCATAGTAATGCCTGTTCCTCTCCTTTTCCCTCACAGAATGTATTTATACAAAACATATGTGTCTGGATGGAAAACAAATTAATCTGGAAATATATGATCCCTGTTCACAAGTAAGTTGAAGAATATAGCTAAATGCTCATTCATTTCCAACGCTTTGTAGGAAAATTTTGGGAATCAGGGCTTAGAAAACTGACTTTTTGACTATAATTCCAGCAGGATGACCACGGTAGTGGAAGGATTCTGGAAGTTATAGATTAATTATGAGTAGTTTTGGCTCCTCATTTAGGGCCAAGTTAAGATAAACTCCCCAGGTTTATTTCCTTCTGGGTCCAAATCATGGCACTAATATGGTTTGTTAGAATCATAGTGTTGGGCATAGAATGGGAAAGCTAATTTTCAAAACCCTGTAAAGCCACAAAGGTCACCTGGTTCTGTTCTCCAACTTTCAGCTTAACCTACCTCCCAAACTTGCTATCAGGTTAAAAATGGTGGAAGTGTGCATATATTCTGAGTTTCCTGATCCCTACTTCAATAATCAAACCACTATACTATGCTGGCAGTCTTAAAATGACTACTTTTATATTAAGAAGTAAATAAAAGCAAGCATTTCAAAGCTGAACTATCCAGAGTAGCTCATTTGAGAGAATGAAGCATGAGTATTTGCAAGGAGAAAGTGCTCTTAGAGTCATCTTAATAAAGTGTCTCATGCCAAATATCCAGTGCAATTTGTTGTTTTGCTTTTCAGCCTCGGCAAGGGAAGCTGTCCCTTACAGATGAGCTCCACTGGGCAGATGGCTTTGTCATTGTGTATGACATCAGTGATCAAACCTCTTTTGCTTTTGCAAAAGCATTGCTTTGCAGGATACGAGAGTGCCACATGGGAGTTTGCAAAAAGTAAGTTGGCAAATGACTGTTTTAGTAGGCTGGAGAGATCACACTGTTGAACAATTGTGCTGGGTTCAGACCTGTTCTTAATTAAGACCCACTAAAATCTAGCAGATTTGAATTAAGATCAATTGATTTCAATTGGCTTTTTGTTTTTACTAGAATTAAGGCTGTGCTGCACTGGCTGGTAAATCTGGGGACATTTCAAAATAGAATTGCTCCAGATTGGCTCTAGAGGTAGCCACATACACCCTTCAAAACCTGCTTCAGTGGCAAGTTGTGAGGCTCTATTGTTCCTACTGAACCATCTCATCTTCCATGTCACTATAGCCACTCCCACTCCAGCTCCACTCATCACTTTAATCAGATTACAGTCCAAATACCTTCCCCCCAAAAAAACTGTGGGGGGTGGGGCTGCGAGTCCAGATGCCTTGCTGGACCTTCCAGCAGGGTACCCAGACACCAACAAAAATACCCCATAAATCCTTTAAAATTTAAAATTATTTACCCGGACACCATTACCCTGCTGCCAGACCTATCCTGGCACGTAGAATTGACATGCCAGGAGAGAGGGAAGGGGAGGGAAGGAGGAAAATCACTCTTCTCCTGGCATGTCATTTCTATGTGCCAGGAGAGATCTGACAGCAGGGTAATGGCAACCAGGTAAGTAATTTTTATTTTTAAGGCAGTCCAGACAGGGGCCATAGTGGATTAGACCTGGGTATTTCTAACCCAGTACCTAATTAATTCAGGAGAAAGTAGGGTTTTCCTGGTTTGTCCAGAATTAATTCGCTTTTACCCAAGGCATCATTTGGATGCCTCAGATAAAACTCTGTGAGGGTCCGCAGTTTGCAAGCTGTGTTGATGTGCCCTCAGTTGGCCACAGAGCTTCTGGCTATCATGGGTACCCCATGCTGATATTAGCAGAGGTGCCTACATGACCAGGAAGAAGCAAGGAGGTGATAGCATTGATACACTGTGTTTATACTGGTATGAAGTGGACCTGATCTTGCTGTGCACACTGCACCCAAAACTTCTGGATATTCTGGAATTTCAAACAAACTTCAGAGCATCCCGCAACCTTTACCAAACAAAGCTGGATTAACCTGGTTTAATCCTTGCAGCTCATCAGAAATGGAGTAATGTTGTGAAGACAGCATTTAACCAACTAATTTGATTCAGCATTTGCACTCTGGTTAGTACTAACCAACCCGACCCAGACCAGTAATAGTAATAGGAGAATTTTAAACTAAAGAATGATACCAAGAATAGGATGAATCTACAAATAATGTTTACAAATGTTTCCTCTTCACCACTTTTTCCCAGAGCATCAGAATCAACTATTGTATTGGTTGGAAACAAACAAGATCTATGCCATATGCGAGAAGTTGGCTGGGATGAAGGACAAAAGTTGGCCCTGGATTACAAATGCCAGTTCTGTGAACTATCTGCAGCAGAACATTGTCAGGAAGTGACAGCCATGTTCACAAGAATTCTCAAGAATGTCACTTCCAATTCCAAAGGGAAAGAGAAGAGGCGGCCCAGTGGTTCAAAATCAATGGTCAAATTGATCAACAACATGTTTGGGAAGAGGAGGAAGTCTGTTTAGCAAAACTCAGGTTGAATCTGGGCAGAAAAAAGGCATAACAAAAAGAATCCTAATTGACATGGAGATCTTACCAATGTGTTTGCAGGCAGATGAGGACTTTGGGCCTTTCCAGAAATATTAAAATCCCGAGAGGAATTGATATAAAATACCGATTCCTCTCAGGTCTTTGTCCTCACTCCAACCCCCAAATCCAGGCTTTCTCTCAGGGAGTGCCTAGATGCCCTCCTGGGTCAACCAAAGATTGAAAAGAAAACCAAAGATTGACCCAGGAGGGCATCCAGCCACCCTCTAGCCCCCCATCCCCTCCCCTTAAACTTACCCGTGGCACCTGCCAGCCACGCGGGTATCTCTGGAGAGCTCTGTAATCATGCCAGAATGATGCTTCAGGAGGTGGCGGGGTGGGGTTGGGGGTAGGTATCCCACTTCTATAGCTATGGGGACTGATGAGATTGTGTGCTAATACCATATTTCATCAGATAATAGCCACATTTTCCCATCTTTTTACATCACAAACTATGACTATGATCCAAGGGGAAAAATTGCCTTCTCTAGTTTCTGTTGTTAGCTTAAGGTGAAGTGTTTCTTAAATCTGGATTAAACTGAATAAATTCGATTTATTCCAGGTTGAAACAGATTAGCCTGAAGCACCATCTGGATGCCTCAGGCTAACGGTTTTTTTAGCCCGAGTTTTAGGGCTATGTACAAGGACCCTTATTGTCCCTCTTACAAGTAGTGATGACATCAGGCAATATTAAAGTTTTGTCAGTCATTTTTACTCCAGATCCAGATGATAGTTACCATTTGATGCTCCTACATGGCAGCTTTAACCCAGCCATTTCTTATGATAAAATCCCATTGAAGACTGAGTTAAAATTAATCCCAGGTGGTTCTAGTTGGATCAGGACCAGCATGCGTGAACAAGGTTTAAAGTCACTATGACTAAATCATAATGACTTTAAACCTTTAGACCTAAATCCAATTGTTTGTCTCAACTAGAACAGAACCATTATATCATTTTTTAACATTCCCTTGATTCGGTAGGCCTACTGTAGTATGATCTTGGATTTAGGCCTTTGGATTTGTTAGAGCTTTGTTTTCTGGATTTAATTTTGTTTTACTCTATGTAGATTGTAAAATACTTGAGACTGTCTGTAATGAGCTATAAGGCCTAATTCCATCTAACTTTTCTTGTATTTTATTGTAGATAATTTATTTCCTTGTAATGTATTTACTGTCTTTTGCATAGCTATGTGATTGTATAGTAAAGGAGTTATTGGCAATCCAGGCCAATACTATAGACCTAATGAGATACTCATAAGTAAATTCAAGGAACAAATGTAATGGTTTCCTCTTCAAGGATGGAGTTTTTTTTAGCATATTCTGGGAAGCAGTGAAAAATAAATCCAGGCATGACTTTGTTTTGAGTTTTCAGTGCTTCTCGGTAGCAGTATTAAATTTTCAAAGATGCATCCAGCTCTAAACTGTTGTATACAATTCTCAGTTCCAAAATGTTGTATATTTCCAGAGAAAGATATTGCAGACATGTGAAACTTGCACTTTTCACCATTTGTCAACATATGCAAAGCTGCTCCAATGAAACAAGCTTTAGATGGGCTGCCTGATGTCTTTGTTTGTAGAAGCATACAATGTCTTTTTTAAACATGGCTCAGCAAAGAACATTTTCCTGTGAAACAAACATGAGTTGTGATCCAGAGTGTTCCAAATATACATGAAAAGTTCTTTTCCATTCATTGGGAGTTATATTAATATGCCTTGGGTTGTATCAGACCTTTCTTTAGCTCAGTTTACCATCTTGTCTATGGTGATGAACACTAGTTGTCATGAACCAAAAGCCTTAAAGGAGCCAAACACAAGTAAAAGGTCCAAACAAGGTTTATTAAAGTAACAAAAATAGCTTAGAAACACTTAACTCAGTGTATCTAGCAAGAAAACAAAGTCTGTAGCAAACTGCTATTCAAAAAACGCAACTTGGAGAATAATCCGGATTATGCTGGAGTATAATCCGGTGTAACAAAAAGTTCAAGCAAACTGCTTCAAAATCACAGAGTTCACAAAACACAAGGTAAAAAGGTGGTAGCAAGCAAAAACATGGTCAGGAAACAGTCCAAAGTCGAGGCACATCCAAAAGCAGAAGTTAAGTCCAAAACGCGATGTCGGCGTCCAAAAACAATCCGAAGTCAGCAAGGAAGTAGAAGTCAGCACTTACAGGATTCCAGTCAGTAGAAGCATGGAAACACAGTGATCTGCAGTCCCAGGACCCAAGGCAAAAGTAATGGCAGCAACGAAGTCCCGAGTCCAAATACAACACTTTGCCTACTGCAAAGTCCCCAACGTTTGATACCTTATTTTATCCTATAACTCATTATCAGATGATGAACTGGTCTCCACCCTGTCTTCATCACTCTCAGGTGCTTTAGCTTCCACAGCTGCTCGCCACCGCCCGTCCCTCCAACTTTTCCAGCACCTATCAAGACTTAGATCACCCCATGTATTACCAGGTTGCCAGTCTCCCGAAAACCCCTTCTACTACTAGTTGTAGCTTGATCAGCACACTGTACTACAACACTAATTCAAGGTCTCACTTGGCAGGGATCTTCCAAAATCTGTAACATCATGAGAAAAATGTCCACTTTGCATTTCCTACTTTGTACAGTTGAAGAGGCATCTGAAGGGGTTATTTGGCTTCCCTGAGAAACCCTAGGCTATTGGAGCTGATGTTGGAAGCAATCCCTGGAATGCACAGGGAGTTTGCTGGTTCTGTACAACTCAAAGCACTGAGCCTGTCATTTCTTGATATTTTAATCCAATGAGCAATATTTAATTAAAATAACTGCTATTAGTTCAAATCCAGTACAAGCTCTTCTGGTCCTATCCCTCTTTTAAAACTTGATGGAAATATTTACTTGCACGCCAGTCGACTGTATTTTATCCATGCAGTAGATGCCTAGTAAAGTAAGTTTGAGGGGGAGTTTGGATTGTATATGAAATTGTTACAGATGAGTAGATCTAGGCTCATATTCATGATAGTTGATGAAGTAGTCATTGGGATCCTATATTGCTTCAGCATAGCAGAAATATTCACCAGTGGAGATATATTGTCCTTCCACTGTACAAGTCCTCTACTACATTACGTTAAGAGCAGTGCACAATGCTTTGTATATGTTACTTCGTGAACATTCATATACATCCATTTGTCCAGGAGTTCTGCATTTAAATCTGTGCTTTCATCACTGTTACCTGGATGTGACTATTTCTTTATTTACTTTATTGTGTGTGTTCATTCGTTCAGTCATCTCCGACTCTTCGTGACCTCATGGACCAGCCCACGCCAGAGCTCCCTGTCGGCCGTCACCACCCCCAGCTCCTTCAAGGTCAGTCCAGTCACTTCAAGGATGCCATCCATCCATCTTGCCCTTGGTCGGCCCCTTTTCCTTTTACCTTCCACTTTCCCCAGCATAATTGTCTTCTCTAGGCTTTGCTGTCTCCTCATGATGTGGCCAAAGTACTTCAACTTTGTCTCTAGTATCCTTCCCTCCAATGAGCAGTCGGGCTTTATTTCCTGGAGGATGGACTGGGTGGATCTTCTCGCAGTCCAAGGCACTCTCAGAACTTTCCTCCAACACCACAGCTCAAAAGCATCGATCTTCCTTCGCTCAGCCTTCCCTAAGGTCCAGCTCTCACATCCGTAGGTGACTACAGGGAATACCATGGCTTTGACTAGTATTGTGACCATGGGCCACTATTCACAACATTCATTCCAATTAGCTTCCCTCCTCCACCCGTGGGCATGGGAAATGATTTGCCCCCTCTGCCAGAGAAAACTGTAGGAAATAGTTCCATCTGGAACTATTTCCAGTGGACATGGCTTGCATGGATGTGCAGCCCAGCCCTGGACCTCATTTTGAGCTTTGTGCTGGCCTGCTGTCTCAATAACAAAGCATCACTGGCTGACCCTTGATGGAGAACAAAATCTGGCCTCCTCAACTGACACCAAAAGCCAACGATTCATAACCAACAATTCCATTGCAGGGTGTCTTATATGCAGAGACATGTGCTAAATCCTTCATAGAACCTTCATACATCCAAGACAATCCTATCCAAATGCACACATGCATACAGTGTCACGGTGACAGGTATTTTGTTAGGAATATCCGGCTGACAGATAAATGCATATTGACATCTTTCAAGCCACAGGGAGAAATTTGCATTGCAGTGTGTACAAAATTATTCATATCTTTTATTTGAAGAGCTTTAAGGATATTATAGTAGTTCTGCTGCTTTGCCAAGAAGGGCACCTTTTAAAGATAATATAATTTCTTCTACTTTGGGTTGAAGGGGAGTATTTGTTCTTTATTGCTTCCACCAGCACCCTCTTGTGGCCTGTTGCTAACAAAGATATGGAAATAAAACCTATTCACATTGAGTGGATAATATCAAAAACACAAGCAGGATCTGACAAAAAGAATGTCTTGGGTTTACAGCAAACGGTCCCAGGTCTAAACTTGGCCACCTCTCTGAAATCATGTCAATGAGATTTAGTAGGATTTACATGAGGAGCTCTGATCAAGCTGCACAGTGGCATGTTGCAAGAGATGTAACACCAGAGCATCAAGTCATGTTAATGTCTATGTGTTGAATCAGTTTTAATAATCATAAGGAAATGAGAAACAGTGTGTTGAAAATGAGCTTGCAGAAGAAGAAAAGAGTAATATCCTATGCAAGGGCAGCTGTTGTCATCCTTCTACTTGCCCCATATATAACATAACAAAGAGACCCTTTGAACTCGGCTCCAGAATCACAGATCGGCAGCAGTATCAGTGGGTGAGAAGCAAACACCAGCAATGGACCATGGAATGAGCCACAAGGCATTTGAGATCCTGGTTAATTCCAAATGTGAAGTTCTAGAGATCCCCAGTTCTCCATTTGGAGTCCAGAGGGATTAAAGATAAGTATGGCCTTGTCTAGAACATTGTTCCTTAAACTATGGGTTCCAAACTGAGCTGGTGTCCTCCTAGCTCAGTAAAAGGTTTCTGAACACTACCCATTTGCACAAATCTGTTAGCAACAACAGCCAATGTTTACAGTAGACTATGCAGAAATTGCTTCAGCTGTGCTCCAAAAAGGAAAAAAAACCCTTCCTGTTTAGCAAACCTTGCAAATACTTTTTTTTTGTCATGTCAGGAGCAACTTGAGAAACTGCAAGTCGCTTCT